CTCCCGCGCCCAAATTCTAAACCTAGAAAAACACTCAAAATTATGAAAATTGCAATGATATAATTTGAGAACTATATGCTTGAATCCCATTAAATTCTAAATATTATTTTTCATCTGTATGAGTGATCATAACTAAGACCTTTGAATACTCTTTATAGCCTTGAAGGCATGTTTGTGATGGATAGAAATTTGAGAAAATTGTGATATGCCAATACTAATACCAGTACCACTAGTCTGCAAATATTGGATGTCACTAGAAGTTTACATTGGATCATATCATGGATACAATTGAGGCCTGCAAGAATGCTAAATTGTTACTTTAAATGCTAAGGACTTGATCTGCTTACAAATGAATATTTCTTTGCATCAGATTGTAAATGTTCCTGAAAAAGGTGCAAGGAAACATCCCCGTGGTGATCATATTAAGGTAAAATGGATTCTCGTTCTTTTTTCTCTTCCGCTTCTAGAACTGGACAGTGACTACCTTTTAGAGGGCGTCTTATTCAAGGAATGTGAGATATACTTCTTCAATGTTTTCTTCTGCACTTTACCATGAATCTGCCCACTCTATAAACTATCATTCAGTGTACAAGGAATCTGCAGAATCTAGATCCATGAATTTGATATAATAATGATAATATCATATTAATTACTCTAGAATATCATGCTAGGGTGTTTGCTCATCACTCATTGTACTTTTCAATTTATTGGCTTAAAGTTACAAACAAATTCATTAATTGCAGTGGTTACTTAAGCTTTGTTTTATGCTCTATATTTATTTTTCTTTCTTGGTGAGAGGGCTTTCTTTGCTCTGTAGTCTGGAACTCAAAGTGCAGTTTAATATGTATTATTGTGTCTCCTTTCTGGCACGAGACATTGTATTTCCCTTTTTGAAGTTATTAATTCTCAATTGCAATTGCACCTAAACAGATTGATACAAAAGATATTCTTTTCATCTGTGACGGAGCATTTGTTGATCTGGAGAAGACCATTTCTGAGAGGTGATTTTCATTTTTTTGCACCCCTGCGGTAAAATTCCCTATAAACATTGCCAACCTCTTAAAATCTGAGAATTTCATTATTTGTTAGGCGGCAGGATTCTTCCATTGGTTTTGGTGCGCCAGTGCGTGCCAACATGAGAACTGGTGGAGTTACTGATGCTGTTTTAACATCATCTTTACTAGAATCTGTACGAATGATGCCATGCCGTGTTTGAAACCAGTAGCCAAAATATTATTAATGGCTCAAAATGTCTTGTGTATTGCTAATCTGAATCTTGCTTATTGCGCCTTCAGGTTGAGAGTAGTGATCTGATCGCGTATGGCCTTATTCCAGAGTTTATTGGGCGCCTCCCTATTTTAGTTACATTGTCAGCACTTACTGAGAACCAACTTGTCCAAGTATTTTATCCCTCTTATCTGGCTGTCTTAAATAATTTTTTCCCAAAGTACGATTCAAAACCACCTGTTTCAATCAAGAACAATGTTATCAGAATCTCAACTGATTACAGATCAGTTGAGAATAGATTAGTACGGAGTATTATTCAGTAGTATCCATTAAGTGTTATGGAATGTTTCAGCTTTCAAGTCTTGCTGTTACTGTTCACATATTTTGGAGATTTTGCTTTCTAAGGAACATGCATTATTTAATGCCGTAGTAGATAATAATTTTGGAAGCTAAATAAAACTAGATACCCCAGCCACACACACACACTCCACTGATCTACTATTCCAAGAGATATACTTATTGTTTTCTTTGCCATTCTTAAGTTAAAGATTCTAATGATGGTTGATCTCTCGTTCAGGTCCTAACAGAACCGAAAAATGCTCTAAGTAGACAGTACAAGAAATTATTTAGTATGAACAAAGTAAGCAGTTTTTATCACCTCTAATCTTTTCTTCTTTCCTTTTCGTAATGCTACATGAGTGAATGCATGTCTATGTTAATTTGTTTGCTCACACTTCTCCCACCCCAACACACAAACAGGTATTGAGCAATTGTTTAAGTCTTATAGTAAACAGTATCTCTACTCCTTGGGGAGGATTGCATATCTCCCCCCCCCCACCCCCCCACCCCCCACCCCCCAAAAAAAGACCCTACTCTTGAGTGGCATTTAGAGGGTAATTGGGGTTGTGTTAGATTCTTGAAAAATCACAAGTAAAAATGAAGGCCACTTAGTCTTAGGTTTGCTGAGATGCACTTCCGGAGTTTATTTTAGACTTTCGAAGTCATAAGCTATAAGGAGAAGCAGATTTCCAAACATGCTAAACAACAGAATTTTAGGTTAGGTTTCATTTTAGTCTTATGGTCTAACTTTGTGCTATTTGAAAAAATTATATTTAGGTCAAGCTACATTTTACAGACGAGGCATTGAGATTGATTTCAAAGAAAGCATTTACTAAAAACACTGGTGCAAGAGGGTTAAGAGCCTTACTTGAGAGCATATTAACTGATGCTATGTATGAGGTAATTATTTCTTTAACAATGAATTGCGTTGAAAGCGGTAACCGCTCAATCATCATTGCCTTTTACGTGCATAGATTCCTGAAGCGAAAGCAGGGGATGAAAAAGTAGATGCTGTTGTAGTAGATGAAAAATCTGTTGGTTCCGAAAGTGCCCCTGGATGTGGTGGAAAATTACTGCTCGGGGATGGTGCTTTGGAACGTTACCTTGCTGAGAGTCGTTGTAAAGATCAAAAGGTAGGTTTAATTAATGTTCAAGACTAGTGCCCAAAGCATCCCCACTTAGGGTCAGATTTTAAAACTTACTCCCTCCGTCCCGTTTTAAATCGCTTGCTTTGACTTTTGGGCATATTTAAGGAAAAGAAAAAATAAAGTTGATTTTCCGAAATTGCCATTACTTTTTAGGAGGGATGACGATGAATGAGAAGATATAAGATGGAGAAGAGTGACTTATTTTAGGGGTAGTTTAGGTATTTTACTCTTAAAAGTTTACGAAAACAAGTAACAGGCAACTTATTTTGGGACGGAGAAAAAAGGCAAACATGAAATTTAAATGAGACAGAGGGAGTATATCATTTCTTCCCGTTTTCAGAACTCATATCATATAAACTCTACCCACTCACCAAACGGGCACTTATACGTTTCTAGAATTGTGCCTGAAGTCAATTTTTGGCTGTGCTACTTGTACACTATAGCACACACAAACAAGATTTTTGTTCCATGTTTTACATTATTGTTTAATTAGTAAATTAACAATATTTAAAAGCATAGCGAGTATCTATCGATATGTTTCTTTTGTTGACTTTTTTTACACGAACACGATTTTGCAGGGGAATGTCGACTCCGAACAGCCGGATCGCGGCGGTGAATCAGTTTCGTCAAGAGCGATGAGCATATAACATGATTGACATCTCACCTTCACCATTATAGGAATGTGTTGTTATTAACATTGTTAGTGGTAATATTTTTATTATTTGTGTAAATTGTGTTCTTTTTTCTTTTTATCCCATATGTTGTAAATTGTGGACATTGATCCAATTGTAACACAATATACTGAACATACATGCCAATCACAAGAAAGCTCACATGAAATAGGAAATGCTCAACAAGTGGTAAATTTTTGGGTGTGGATCTAAGATTCACCTTAGAATTTATGGACCTTAATAGCTTCACGAGTATTTTCATAATGTTGTGAATTTTTTTTATTACTTTAATTTTTTAATTAATTTATTTATAAGAAAACATTTGCATAATATTGTTATGAAGACCAAAAATTCATGGTAGAAGTATTCTAAAATAACAGGAAAAGATTAATAGATTCAAGTATGACTAACTTATTTTATTTGATGGAATCATTTTAGAATGTGGGTGGACACAATTCCGATTCTAAACTGATGTTAGGATAGGAATTAGCTATTCTTGTACCATAAGAATTGAAATCAATAAACTGGAAAGATAACTTAGAATAGGAACTAGCTATTCTCATTCCATCGGAATCTCATGTTATGGGATGACTCGCGGCCGCTACAGTGTTTCATTAGTAAGGGGTTGTTTGTATCAGCCTTTTAATGGTTTAGATGTCTGAATGATTCAGCACTTAATGGTTCAGACTGTTTATTTCAACCTTTTAATGGTTGTTTGAATGGTTCAGACATTTGCCTCTGAATGCTTAAATATTATACAGAGTCTGAATGGTTAAGACTTCTTATCTGAATTGATCAGACATTTGCCTCTGAATAGTTAAGCAATATACTAGTTCTTAATGGTTCAGATCTCTTACTGGTTCAGCACTTAATGGTTCAGACCTCTTACTAGTTTAACACTTACCTATTCAGAAGTCGCCAAACAGTCCCTAAAACTGATAGTTCTTAAACATCTTAATTCTCCCCCGGTAAATCCCCTCACCCTGCCCTGACTGGAACTTACCCCCCCTACCGCCTTTAATTTGATTCCTCATGTTTATTTGACTTTGGAGGGTGGGGGTGTGTTCGGATCGAGGGGAGACCGGGGGTTAGGGGGTAGGGACCGTCAATTTTACGAACGAAACACCGTTGTGGCTTCGAGTCATCCAATGACATGAGGTTCCAATGTCATGGAAACTGCTCCGTGAAACCCCCCAGTTCCGATGACATTGGGAATCAATGTCATTGGATGACTCGTGGTGCTCCGGTTCCCCGTTTATAAAATTGACGGTTCTTGCCCCCGGGTAAACCCCCCAACTCGTCTCGACCCGAACACACCATCCCACCACCTTCAATTGCACCCCCAAGTTAATTTTGACTTTGGAGTCAAAATTTGACTCCAAAGTCAAAGTTAACTTGGGGGTGCAATTGAAAGGGGTGTGAAGTTTACCGGGATAGAGATAGAAATTGTCAATTTTATGAACGAGACACCAAAGTACTCCAAATTATCCCATAACATTAATTCTTAATGTCATCCGAACCGGCCCTAATTGAAAAAGTCTATTGTAGCTTGAATCAAATCAAAACCGCCCTTCGGACCGGAACTGAACCTTTACTGGTGGATTGGTATTCCGGTAACTCCATTTTAGGAATAGGAACGAGCGCCTTTCCCGAACCAGAAGCGGAAAGTACTCTGTAAATTAACGCGAACCTCTAGAAAAATCTGCTTCTCCGCCGCGCGTCCGAATTCAAACGATAGCCGGAGATGATGAACGGCGGCGGACAAGAAGAAGAGAAGGGATTGCTTTGGAAGTTACCGGCGGTTAAGTCCAAGGATCTCGGCAAGCTTGGCCCCGGTTTCGGACTCGGTATCGGGTGCGGGCTCGGGTTCGGCGTCGGTCTCATCGGAGGTTTATTTCCCCTTTCATTTCCCCCCACAAAAGAGTAGTGATTTTACCTGAGATTTTTAGGAATTAATCTGTAACTATAACTGAAATTAGCTCATCTGATCGTTGTTGAAGGGGCGGGGATTGGTCCGGGGATTCCTGGGCTGCAGATCGGGTTTGGATTGGGAGCCGGGTGTGGTGTTGGATTAGGGTTTGGGTACGCTGTCGGGCGGGGCGTTGCTTATGATGACAAACGCAGACACTCTAATGTCGGCCGGATTTTCAATCGCAATGGCAATCTTCCTACTCAGTGAGTTACCCCTACTGTAAATTTTTTTAAGTTTTCTCCATTCAAAGCATTCTTTTGTTCAATTCAAAACCTATATGATTGATATTTATGAAAATGAAAACTATAGGAACCACATAATGTTTTCTATGAACAGAAACATCATGCTGGGCTGTGTGCCTGAGTCAATGCGCGTACCTTCACCCCAACCCCGCATTAGTATGATATTGTCCGTTCCAAACGAAGCCCATACGGTTGCTCATACAATTACTAATGGGTTCGGTTAGACCTATTTATTTTGGTCTCTCTTCTCCTCTACCTTTGGTGTGGGACTTGGAGGAATCCCAACAATCACTATAGTTTAGCCTTATATAGAGTTCGGCCGGGTATTAGTGTTTGGTTTATTCATGCCATGTGATGTGTTGATTGGGAGTGGAGCTAAAAGAGTAATCATTGACAATGTTTTAACTTTGGGTAAATAATGGACTAATCAAAATGAAACATTGAACTTTTGCTTCTTACTCTCTATGAAGTTTTGGGTTGTAAATGAAGCAATCCATCAAGGGTTTAACGACAACAAACATTGTTTTTCACATAGATAAAGCTACTTAAACATTTAAACCTTGACATACTGACTCCCAACAGAGTTAGAATTGTAACTGGTTTTGTTTTTTGTTTAGATCACTACGTAATCTTCACCCGCTGTTATTTGACCAACAAACCAGGATGATACTCCCTCCACCCTGCAAGGAAGTTTATGTTTTGACTTCCCAAGATTTAAGAAAAATGTTTGAAAACAGGTGGGTGTTTAGAAGAGATATTTCTTTCCTAAAACAAGTAGAGAAGTGTAAACTTTATGTTGGGATAAACAAAAAAGAAAAGTTTAAACATAGTTGCGGGATTAGAAGGGGGCAGTGGAACGGTAGCTGTGTATATGTCTTTGACCTAGAGGGTGTATGGGACTCTGTTAGAAACCAAATTTTGAGCTTCTTCTTCGTCCAAATATAGTTTCGTATGTTTGGCAAATTTGTTTTTCTTACGGATTTATGGCTCTAGATGTGCAAAACTGACTCCAAAAACTGTTGTTTACCACAAATTTAGGACTATATGCTTTTTCGTTTCTCGATTACGGCTTCTGCTTTTCTATGAATCATCACAGTCCCAAACAACCTCGTACTTGTGATTACTTACAAGAAGCAGGTGGCTTTACTACTAACTGCTTGCCTGTCAGGTATGAGATTGATACCCTCTTCGATGATCTCATCAAGAACACGAAGAACTTGGTCAGGGAGACTTCTCAGGAGCTCGACAAATGGCGAAGACGACGCCCGTAGCAAAGGAAGCATTTGATTTGGTATCAATTCTAATGGGTTTCACTCTGTAACTAGATGTGAATTTCCTTTGCTATCAAAGGTTGTTAAGATATAGGTATTGTTTGGGAGCTGGTTGTGTTAGACTTTAGCTACTTTCAGCGGATATAATAATTGAATTATTCGAGTATATAAATTTCTGTTGAGACGTGGTTTGTATGGTTGTTTGTATTCACTATTGTTCAAAAGAATAACTCAAAAATTTACTCTATGCAGACAGAATCCACGAAAACTGAATGGATGAACTTAATTTAAGTTTTATTCCAATGGGTACTCTAGTTATTATTTTTTTTTTTTGGAAAAATTACTTAAAATAATCTCAACTTTACTCGATCTTTCAAAAATAAGCTCACCTTTCACTGTGATGCATAATAATCCCAACTTTATTGAAATTTGCCAGTTTTGGATCGCCGTTAAGTTTCTAACGGGGGTTAACGGAAATGCCCGTTTTAGGCAACAAAATGAAAGTTGGGATTATTTTTGATGGATTTTTGTTTTTTAATTTTTTTGAAATTTTTATTTAAATTTTTTGAATTACTTTCAACCTCCATTTCCTTTTCTTTTTTAAAGATTATTCTTACCTTAGAAAAAAATAGATATAAAAAATAATGAAAATGAGAAAAATAACTAAAACCATACAAAATTAATCAAAAAAATAATGTAATCAATAGAAATTAAACAGAAATTGGTAAGAAATAAAATAAATATATACGAAGTGGTGGGTTTTAACATTTTACACACTATACGGAGTCTTAATGTACTACTTATTTTATTGATTACCAATTTTACTTTTACCCAGTCGCTTCTTAGTTTCCATTGATTACTTTATTTATTTTATTATTTAATTTTTGTTTCATTTTAGTTACATTTCTATTTTTTTTATTTTTTATATCTATTATTTTTATTTTTTAAACTAAGACTAATCTTTAAAAAAGGAAAAAGAAATGATGATGGAGGTAGAAAGTAATTTAAAAAATTTAAATGAAAAATTTAAAGAAAATAAAAAAAATGAAAATTCATCAAAAATAATCCCAACTTTCATTTTGTTGCCTAAAACGGGCATTTCCGTTAACTCTCCGTTAGAAACTTAACGGCGACCCAAAACTGGCAAATTTCAGTAAAGTTGAGATTATTATGCATCACAGTGAAAGGTAGGATTATTTTTGAAAGACCGGGTAAAGTTGGGATTATTTTGAGTAATTTTTCCTTTTTTTTGAAAATACTCGGGAACCCCATTAGGTGTACATTAAGACAAAAATAGGCACACACAAATAATAAATGTCTTTGAACCTACATATATTGAGTACTTGTTTATGTCTGTTTTTGCTTTGTTGTACACTAAGTGAGATTTTTCTAGCACCACTCTTTTTCATTCACTAATATGGATTTATAGTCACGAGCATGCGTGTGAGAATATAAAAAAGTTTTTTTTTGCGTCATTTATTCTTGAAGTTTTCAAAAATTGTGCGGATTTATCCCGAACTTTAAAATATGCACCGATGGTCCTTCTGTGTCAGATTTGGAAATGCGCTAGTCACACTCTTATCAATATACATGTTGTAGCTTGATGAAGATGCCATGATTTATATAACAGGTTGATCGATTGATGACGAGCTTTATTAACTGATGTTTGGCCTTTGGATTTGGTTATTGTCGACTAAATCAAAAATAACTGTCTACGGCTTAAATAAGTTAAAAATATAGAAGATAATATTTTGGGAAATACATACTACAGGAACTCACGTATGATATATGATTTTAGATGAATTCATACTTGTATTAGATGAACGTGTAATTGATACATTCCCAAATCTAGCGTATAGGGACTATTGTTTCAACATTTTTAAATATTTAAGGGACATTGTTGGAAATTTTAAAATTCAAGGGGAATCTGTGCAATTTTTAAAAAGTTTAGAGGTAAATGGTGCAAAAAAAACTCGAACAGAAGATGGTCGAAGCAACGCTTTAGGTTAACTTTAGGGACAATATAGTTTTTTATATGAGTAAAATTCCGTTAACATTGACATGTAATATCAGGAGATGACCTGGGGTCACTCGCTCATTACAATTTACAAACACTTCAGGTGTTCTATTCATAAAATGAAAAATGCTAGGGGTACACCAAATGTGTACCCCATTTGTCCCCCACCCCTCCTTGTCCACAAAAAAGGCAAGAAATTCAAAAAAAATAAATAAATAAAAATAAAATAAAAATGGTTGGTGGAGAAGGGAGTGGTGTACACTTAGGGTACATCTTTAGTGTACCCCTAGCATTGCTCTCATAAAATACCTTCTAACTCTTAGAGCATGCGCAGCGGCGAGACATTTCCTCGCTCGCTGCGCCACATCAGTTCCCTCGCCACTTTTGCCTCGCGTGGCTCAGCCTCCCTCCACGCCAAGCGTGTGAGGCGCGAGGCATCCTCAATTTTTTTTATTTTTTTTTATTTTTTTTATTTTTTAGAAAAATAAATTTTTTTAAAAAAAGAGTACATCTATATAAAAAAGATAAATGAAATAATTTTTAATAATTAAAATGTTTTTAAAAAATCATAAAAATTGACAAAAACAATGACTTGCCACTGTACGAGATACATCTCCACTCACTTGCCACACGCTGACTGGATTGTCTTTTATTGATTGAAATGTGGCACGTCAACGTGTGGCATTCCATTTCGTTACTTGCCATTGCCCGTGCTCTTAATACCCCTAGAAATGTGGATAGATAGGACATGTTATCCATTCCTTTCCCAGCAATCCACAAGATCCGGTTATCCGAGCCACGTAAGCACTATCCTCTGCCACCTCATCACCTCCTCCCCAATCAAAAATAGCTGCTCCAGATTACACAAAGACCGTCCTACGTGGCATCTTCACATCCACCTAAAAAACGAAGCCATAGAACGAGACTCAAAACTCCAAGATCATTTCCTTCCCATTTCGAAACGCCGGAAAGTCAGTCTATGGCGTCCCTCGCGGCATCGGCGGCGGCGGCCTCCCTCGGCAAGGCGGAGGTTCCCGGAAAATCCATCTGGCGCGGCGGCGCGTCGTCGAAGCTCAAGACGGTTGCCTTCTTCTCGTTCCCGGCGTTGAAGAAGAAGAAGAATAACAATAGTAAGGCGGCGGCACCGGTGAAGCCCAAGCCTTCTTCTTCTGTTTCCCCCGCTGAAGAAGAGATCTCAAAGTGGTATGGTGAGTTATTGGCCTTTCCTTTTCCCACATTTTTTTAAATTACTCCAAATTAAATTTCTCTGGAATTTAGAAAAGCCCTTTGCAAAAGCGTGTATTAGGCTCTGTTTTGTTTTGAATGAAGTAGTTTTCATCTAAAATTGGTCCAAAATTTGATTTTTCATGATCAATAATGTAGAACTTTGACAAAAAAATACATTTATACATTCAAAAAATTCATTTTAAATTTTTCAAATAGTGTATTCTTGCTCTTTTTTTAAATTTTACTTTGGTCTTTGTTTCTTGCCGTGTTATATGCTTCTCTGCTCGAGCCAGGAGTCTCTTGGAAACAGTCTCTCTACTTTCTGGTTGGGGTAACGTCTGCATACACACACCCTCCCGGAACCCTACTTTCGTGGGATTATATAGTGTTATTGTTGTTGTTGTTGTAAGCTTATGTTAGAGTCCCACATGGGAACTTGAAAAAAAGGAATGAGTTTATAAGCTCCTGAATTGAACTACGTAGTCGATTGGATTCAATATTTTAAAATATGGTTTAACCATAGTGTCTTTATGTATCAAACCATTGATCCCTACCCCATCCTAAATTCTGTCTGCTATCTCCAAGACCGACCGGACAATTACCCTAGAAAATGCTGAATTGGTCATTGTGGTTTTTGTTTTGGTTCTTATAGGGCCGGATAGAAGACTTTTCTTGCCCCCGGGGCTTTTGGAGAGATCAGAAATCCCAGAGTACCTGGCTGGTGAAATTCCTGGAGAGTAAGTAATGTGTTTTTTAAATCTTTGTCTCCATCTTTTTCTTCCCTTATATTTTCTTGTTATGTTCCTTCTTCCTTTCTTTCATGCAGTTACGGTTATGACCCGTTTGGCCTTGGCAAGAAACCCGAGAATTTTGCCAAGTAAGTCTGGTGGCTGGTCGTTCTGGTGATAGAATAATTGTATTACTCAAAACGTAGTGAAGAAGTGTTATACCTTACTTGTTCTAACAGGATTAGAAAACTTCTCCATTTAAAACAATGAAAAACTTATTAGAATACAAAGACTACCGTACTTGATACTTCATCTGTCCCAGTAGAGTCTTCTCCAGGCCTAGGGCCTCCAAATTTTTAAGGCCCCGATTTTTTTTTTTTAATTTTTTGGATTGGTGCAGAAATCAAGCATTTGAGGTGATCCACGCGCGGTGGGCCATGCTTGGCGCGGCTGGTTTCATAATCCCAGAAGCCTTGAACAAGTTTGGAGCCAACTGTGGTCCTGAAGCCGTGTGGTTCAAGGTATTTTAACTGACCATTATGACTTTCTTGATACATTGAAAAACGGATGAATATAAAGTACGCGCTCTTTATTTGGGCACATTGGGCCTCCTTCCCACTGTGACTGAACATAGAAATACAAACCAACATGTAAAAAAAAGTTGTGGAAGTGGACTGTATATTATTTGGTTTGTGCAGACAGGGGCTTTGCTGCTTGATGGGAACACATTGAGTTACTATGGCAATAACATCCCAATCAACCTCGTCGTTGCTGTCATTGCCGAGGTTGTCCTTGTTGGCGGTGCTGAGTACTTCCGAATCACCAATGGCTTGGTAATCAACTCCGATCCTCACCTTAAAAAATTAATTTTTTTTCTAAAGACACTGTGGGTGCTCGGGTAAATTTCACCCATGGTATACGAACTTTCATCATTATTTCAATTCGGTGTATAAACTTTAATTCCTATCACAAAAGTACACGAACTTTCAACATTCTTTCACCGATGGTCCAATGGGCGGTTTCTAAGTCACCTTCATGTCATTTGGGGTCAAATTATAATTTTATAAATTTAAATTTTATGATTTTGACCCCTTTTCTTTTTTTCTCTTGGTTCTCCACCCTTTTCTTCATGTTCTTCAAAACGATAAAAATTCGTATACCATGGGTGAAATTTACCGGTACGTGCTCCAATTGAACTGGTGTAACAACCCAAA